CAAGGCCTCCTAGACTGCCAGATTGGAGCAGGTGGGATAGATGATTTCTGGGCAAGTGCAGGGAAACCCACATGGTTGACAGGTCACGCTCTAATCTGTTGTTTTGTTTTGGGTTGGTTGGGTTCCCCTCCACACACACACATACACTTTAAATTACGAACACAGAAATTGGCCCCTACAAATCAGTGAACTTTTTTAAATTGCACTTGATTAGAAGTGCTATTTACAAATATGCAAATGAGTAGTCTTCCTGGCATGATGAGTTTCCCATTAACACAGAAATGATTTTTTTAGTTTCCCTTATCATTCTTTATTTATTCTTTTGGGCTTAATTTTATATTTTCAACTGAGGAAAAGGATCAATACTTAAAAACATGAAATTCAATGCATAAGTGAGAAACCAGGGAAAATAGACTAATATGAGGGAAGTTCAGAACAACCTGTAATCAGCAGCTGTTAATGTCCGAGGGGGGCCCCCTAAGATTCCTCTGACAGCAAAGTGGAGTGAAAGCCCTTCCCTACCCACAGCCAGTGTCTAGAGAATCAATAAAAACAGAGTATACAGATCTATGTAAAACAGAAGTGTTTTATGGAAATGGCAAATGAGCAAACATAATTAGATACATCTTATGGGAGAAAACCTTGAACAATAACTGCCTGAGACATTACTCTTGTGGTGTCATTAGAAACTAGCCATCCAAATTTTGAAATTTCCCAAATTTTTTTTTTACAATTAAATAGAAATTTTGGCTAGAAGTAGTACAATATAAAACAGTGAAGTGAGCAAGGTCAAGGTCAATTTCTGAAACTTCTCTGAAGGTAAAGCCCACTTACCAGAAGATTAAATAGAACCTTGTACTGTAGATTTAGACAAATTTGCTTAAGATCAAATGAGGCAACTGGGATGAAAAAATGCCCTTATCAAATTACAAATTTAGGTGTTCCCGAAGGACATGTGTTTACAACCACCTGAAAGAGTTATTGACCCAGTTTTTTTTACCATATAGTTGGTTCTAAAATACCAATATGTAAATGCTATAACTCCTCTATTAGTCTTTGGACTATTTGTATATCTGGAAAGACATTAATTTGTAAAAATCTTTGCTAGTTTATAAACAAAATTTTTCAACAATATATGTGATGAGGTTTTTTGCCAGTATGGTATTGGGAGCTTGGAAGTGAGATTATGTTCAGTCCGATAAGCTAGGCAGCCTTCAGGAACAAGCCTGATGCACACCCTGGATGTACCATCAGCCACCAAATTACTTCCCTAGAATTCCTTACATTAAAGAGTTTGCCTCTAGATTCTCTTACTGTGTTCAACGGATTAGTAAAAGTGGTAATATTCTGGAGGAACTATAAAATTGAATCACAAAACAAAAAACTCTTCTTTTCAAACAGATTTATGAAGACATTAAAAGTGACTTTTTTCTATGGCCCAGATTGGTTAGAATTATCCAGGGAAGGTGATAAGAGACTTCATAATCAGGTGGTTTTTTTTTTCCCCTCATAGAAGTATACAGTACACCTTACACCACCACTCCCATCCCCCACCTTGGTATTTAAAGGATTATTTTTTTGTTTCTAACACAAATCACTTGTTTATTCATACCCCCACTCATTGATTCATCCTTAGAAGCAGAGGCAGCCTGCCAGATCTTTGGGTGCTTTGGAGCAGTAACAGATGGAAGGAGGGGGAACCGAGAGCCTGAGGTTGCTTATCCACATCTCCCCACTCTTCACTTTTTCTCAGCCACATATGTGTTCCTCAGACATACCACTTGATTGTTCATATCACAGCAGAGGAGAAGCTCCCAAACTTGGCCTAATGAACAGATATTTTTCTAAGGATGAACACTCAGTTAAGACAAAACTCTGTATATTTTTATTGCACATCAGAAATTTGCTACAAAGAAAATGAAGCTTGAGAGTTGGACATAAGGAGCTGATTCTGGGGAGTTGTGAGTTGTGAGATTCTTAGTCTGTTTACATGGAATTAAAATGAACACCATTATCAACATCTTGTCAGATTAACTGTCCTCTGATTAGGAAAAGACTAATGAGAAATCAGAGAGACTGATTCTGCGCCATGGCACAAGCAACATGACCTCCCTGCAAGAAAATACTCAATTTCAATATGTGACATGTTGAAATTTCCAACAGAAGCCCCAAAACATTGCACAGGTAACCTCTTGGGAAGTCATCGAAGCCTTACTTCTTAGCAATTACTGTAGCTAACAGAACAGCAAAATTTTTTCTTTTTGCCCTTACCTTTTGCATCTGGGTCCTTAAAATATGATACGGAAGAGAGAAGAAAAATTGCTTAGAACACTAAATCTAACATGTAGGATTAGAAAATTCAGCCTAGTTTCCAAAAATGGATAAATCTGATTCATTTTACACATTAATGTATTAGGTAAAAAACATTTTTTTCTCCTTGATAGGAAGCAATTTTAAAATATTGTTTTCATGTTAAAACCAAAATCTCTACTATGGAGCAGCATGAAGAATGAGGATGAATTTTTAGGATCAATCTGAGATTTTAAATGTTTACATTTGGAGAGCTTCAAACTTCATTTTACTCTGCTCTAAAAAACTAGCGTGGAAAAGTTTTTTAGAAACATGGTTTAAATATGATATAAAATTGAGTCGATTGATTTAAGACACTATGATAATACAAGAGAATTTAAAGGAATTAAAACACTCATTCTCCTTTGTCACTGCTACCCTGTGTATAAGCCACTTAGTTCCCACCTCTTCTTCCATGAAGCCCTCAGGCATATCTAGGCTCAGACAGCAAGCTGTGGCTTGCTCTAAATTGCTTCATTCCTATATGTATCCACAGCCTGTTATATCTGGCTAGGCCACAGGAGATACTTGTGGACCAAGGGTCATGGTCATATTACCTAAAGACTTTGACTATAGAATGGCAAAAAGACTTCTTACTGCAAAACAATGGCCTGGCTCCAAAAGGGATCCAGAGCCTGGTTTTTTAGACTCTGGCACAACTTACTCACTTGCTTTGTAGCATTTCTCATTGATTTCTCATCAAAAGCACTGTCAGTCTATCCATCATTTCTTTGGCTGATAGAAACCGATGATAAAGATTGTGGGGTTAATTGCCCGGCTAAAGAAGCTCTCCTCTTTTCACCCTGCCACTTTTTCCAACCGGGTACGTGTGCTTCATCTCTTACCACCTATCTCATATTTCCCCAATTGCCAAGCCCTAGCACGCAGCACCATAACGTCCTCCCACGGAAGCCTGAGACCTCCATACTGAGTGCCTCTTTTGAGGCTCTTGGACTGATTCAGAGCCACTAGGGCTCCACGTAGGTCAGCCTTGGTTGTGTGGACTGCCTAAAAAGCACTGCTATGAAGAGTTGCCTCAGCTGAACATGTCCTTCCTTTCTTCCCACAGACATAACCAGTGCGGTGCAATCCAAGCGAAGAAAATCCAAGTAAACAAGCTGGACGGCGACTCGATACTTGTAAATGTGTGTGAATTTTACAAAAAGCAATTTTGAGCTGTGACTTTTTAAAATCCATTTCTGTACAGCTAGTCATTTTAATAATGTGGCCCTTTTCCTAGTCCTTGCAACCTGTTTCGTAAAGTGCAATGGGGAAAGCAGTTGTTGAACCCTTTTGGTGTTGATGAAGTTCAAGGTTTCTCAAATGTTGCCATGTATTGAGAGGAGCTAATACAATTGTTATTAGTTTTCACATTTCCTAAGCAGCCTAGAGTACAGGGTGAGCATTTTTAGGTCTTCTAATGATGTATTGTGCTGTGGAAGTACTGTGTGAATAGCAGTAGTGGGGGCAAGAGGAATCTTCTCATTTGGAAATGTTGTAAATAATTTTATTATATAGTGTTTTGGATGTATTTGTTGTAGAAATGGACCAGTGAATAAAGAGAATCTAAGGATTTGTACAATGTGAAATACTGAATGTGTTAAATAAATGTCATTGTCCTAGAACATAAACGTTTGTTATTGGTAAGGGATTATTGGGTGAGCATGCTATTTCTTTGGACCATAAATGAATAGGAACAGCCTTCTTTGTGAATTACAATTTCATCTTGTCCTCATTGCACCTGAGGTACACCTGGCAAGTTGAGGAAAATGCATATTCTTGCTCACTCAACTTGTTGGCTTGAAGAAACTAGCCCTTTGTGGCACTGTACCAGGCACACTGATATATGTTGGTCAGATTTCTTTTGATTGCAAATACTTGAATCAACTTAGGATCAAAAGCTACCTAGGATTTTCTTGGGATGGGAAGTCATCAGCAATCAAAAAATGGCACTTTTTTCTCCACCTCATACATCTGCTTCTCCGTGCACATGACGGGTTGCTCCAAAACAACTGTGTCTATACCCACTCCGATTCAAGAGATGAGACCAGCAAGATTCTTTGTAACAGCAACAAGAATCCAGCCCAGTTTAGGTTAGCTTTCCACCTTCAGTCCTGTTCTGTGGTTAGATGGGGGCAGTTCCCAAATAAAAACAGTGATTTTGTATTACATACTTCAAAGATGTCCACTACATTCTGCCCTTTGACTGCCCTATTCCTCTGCATTGTTTAGGGGTGACTTATTATTAATATGCCCGGGTTTTTCCCTTTCCCGGCTTAGTTCTTACCTAAAAATTTGTAGTCTCCAAACCAGCTGCTTCTCCATCCCTTCCCCTGCACTAGCTCCTTGCCCTTGCTGTAATCCAATGCCTGAGACCTAGTGGATGAGTCATTGATTCTGTCATGCTCTTATTCGCATCTGTTTCAACTCTTAACTATATGTCTTGCATTATAAGGATCCTCTAAAAGTAGTTATTTATGAGTCAGACTACACATTGGCTGTTCTCAACAAGCTTATCTACCCTATTCCTTCCCTTATGACACACACAACCAGAACCAAAGCCAGCCTAATAATAATACTCTCTGACAATAATGTGCTTGAGATTGCAGTGCTGCTTCTACTTTAGCTCTATTCATGCAGGAAGCATCATGTGCTTTAAATAGATTTTTATTTGTTTTTCTTTATATTAATTTTTTTTCTCCCATAGAGGAATAACATTACAATCTAACAATCAGAATCCTGTTACACACATTACACAGGCATGCCACATGACCGATTGAGGTGGTTGTGTCTTTGAGTCTGTCGACATGTCACAACATGGTCAACCAGTCTCCTCATTTCAGCCAGTCTCAACACAAAACACCCAAGAGGGTTGCACTCAACTTGGTTCCATTTGGAACGAGGCGGCAGGGCAAGTGGGAAGATGTAAGGGGTTATAGTGTGTTTGCATTCGGTCCCCTCACATAAAGCCACATGGATCTGAGGAGGTATCCAAGAGCTCTGGTGGGGTCTTTATTGCACCTAAAATATGGGTCAGAGCACATTGATCAGGATTCCAGGCAGGGGTGGGGACCAGGCATACTCCAAAACAGCAGCAAACTACATTCACACACACGTGATACCCTGCTGGGGCCAGACTGGCAAAGGCTGGAAAGTGACACCCAGCTTGAAGAGAGCACTCAGAAGTATTGGGGAATTACTGTAAGTCGCCCTTTGATGTAATTGGGACTCCCTGTAAAAACAAGTCCCTCTGACATACTGTTTTGGCAAAGTGCTGGTAGTATTGACATTAATTAATACAAACTGAAACAAACTTCTCCAGGGTCTCTGAAAACATAAGTCAAGACAGACTCTCTACCCCCTCCTGTCTAAGGTTGCATAGGACTTTGTGAATTCTGGTTCCCTCATGTATTCAAGTTCTGTGGTTTAAAAATAAATCCTGAAGCATGCTCAAAAGTGAAAGGCACATACACAGTCAATACAGTATGACGAAGTCTGATGCTTCAGGAGTCAGACTAGCAGGAGACTGAGTAGTGTTGGTTCTTAGAAATCTATACACAATTAAAATATTGCCACACTCAAATGCTACAGAATCTATAGGAAAGTACAAAAAAACTATGAGCCTTGCAACCAGCCAGGCGATGAGATTGAAGGGTTCTAGAACTACAAAAACTCCAGAAATATGGATATGGGAGGGGCCTTTTGAAATTTGTGCCAAATGCCCTGTAACGTACTCTTCCCCCACTGGAAGGATCATGGGCACTGCCCAGGACTGAGCCTAGGCCCTAGCCGGCAGCGGAATAGGCAAAATGTTGGAGGGAGTTTCAGCTCTTGGAAGTGCCGAAGACCCTAAGCTGGCTGTAAAGTGCCCAAGGGGCAGCATGAAGAATAAAAATGTCTAGGTCATAACTGAAGGAGAACCTTGGGGAGAAGAGCAAAGCTGTCAATTATCGGGGCCCTAGTGGACTGGCGTGGGGACTTTGATCTGTTTTTAGTGTAGATTTGACTTACTCTCTTGGAGAGGAGACCCCAGTGGGGCTTCCTCTGTCCCCATCCCAGCATCCATGGGGCTACCCCCTCCCTTACCCACACATCCCACATGAGGCTTGGGGCTACAAATCAGGAAGGGCAGCTGCCTTTGCCTTCATGGGATTGCAGTGTTTTCTCCAAGCCTCAGCTTGGCTGTGAGGCCTGGAAACCTGGAATTGGGATAAAGGGGAAGACCTATGTTAGTATGTAACAGGAAATCTTAAAAGTTTCAAGGAAGAAAGAGCACGCACTAGAAAAGGGCAGTCAGAAGAAAAGGGAAGCAACTCGGGGCATCCCATGAGGCTGTTGCTGGTGTCTGAGCCCAAAATTCATTCCCACCATGAGAATGGGAAAGCTGGTTGCCCTTGTCCCTCCCCTCTGTCTTACACAGGGATTCAGGTTCCCTCCTCCAGGTACTTCCTGGAGGAGAAGGGGAGGGGAACCATAGGGCACCTGTTTCTCCCCAGCAGCCTAGAAAGGAAGAGGGCACTGGGGGAGAAAAGGAGAGTCCCCTTGAAGACCTTGAACCTAAATAAGGACTATTTGGGGATTGGAACAGTGAAGCTCCTGGCCTTATACCCAGGAATACTTATTAGCCATCCTGGGCAGGGTGTGAAATACAAAGCCAGAGGCAAGATGAAGCCTGAGCTGTCAGTCTTGGGATAGCTTCATCCCAAAGCTTGTCCTCCCCAGCATCATTCCTCTGCATGCTTACTCTGGGGTATGCACTTTCCCTGCCTAGAAGCCCTCTGGCCTGCATCTCTCCTAAGCTAGTTCTAGCACCTTGGACATGTGAACAGATGGCCAGGATGGCAGGGCTTTGCCCAGCCTCTACTCCTGGGGTGACATGTTGGGGGTAGGGTGGCAAAGTACTAAGCCCTTCAGACTCAGCGGACTGCAAAGGGGCGGATTTCAGGAAGAGATTTGTGGGGGGAGGCTTATAGGAAAGAGAAGTGGGGGCAGACTCCAGGCTTCAGTTTGAGAGCAGGGCTTGGCCTCTCTGAGCAAGCTCAGTTCCAGCTCCCACAGTGCCCTGCTCCCTACAGCTTCTCAACCTGTCTGTTCTGTCCGTATTTCCAGTAGGCCTTTTTTCCTTGATTCCCTCCATCTTCTCCCTCTCTCTCACATCGCACAGTCCTCTTCCACATACTTTACCTTTTCAGACCTAAGCAACTACAAGGAGCCCATCCCTGAGGGGAGAGGGAAGGATGAAACTAAAGGCATAAACCTTTAGTCTCAGTCCTCCTCCTCACCCCATCCATTTAGGAGGAAATTACTGGAAATAAATAATAAGGGAGCAGGAGCAAGTGTAGTGCCAAACATGAAATAGGGTGAGGCTTGTAAAGTGGGAGTTGAAGGTAAAGAGTCAGATCCAGGACTGAAGGAGGAGATCTCAGAAACAGGAATGGGCCACAGGTAGAGAGAGGACTGGAGGGCAAGGATGAAGGGGAATGTCAGGGCAAAGACGGGGATGGGGACCAGAGAAGGAAGGAGTGTTGGGTAGGGGAGATGTAGGATTAGATGCTGGGCCTGGGGCCAGAAGGAGGGTGAAGAGAGGGAGGGGGTTCAGAGGCGGATTAAAGAATCAAAGGGAGAGAAATCGAGGGAGCTATCACCCCACCTCACACACTAGAGGGAGGCTGTGGTGTCCAGCCCCAGGCAGGCTGCGGGTGCCTCTCAAGCAACACACTGGCTGCGGCAGAGAGGGCCCGACAGGGGTCGGGGGTTGGAAAGGGGTTTGTGGTTTGGCCAGCTGACGGTCAGTAGTTGAACTGGCGCTGGCACGGCTGATAGATGAAGCTGCCCTGGTGCTTGGGTCGGCGCTGACGGTTCTCGCGGGCGCGGTTCTGCCGTTGCATCACCTTGGCGCTCAGCGCGTGGCGCTCTGACCGCTGCCGGGACCGCTGCAGCCTCCGCACCTGGCCAGCCTTCTCCAGCAGTGCAGCCCGCGCCGGCAGAGGGGCGGCGGCGTGGTGCAGGGCCCGAGGCTCGTGGTGGACGGGCGCCAGCTCCCTGCGGGGACGAAGCAGGGATCAGTCGGAACCTGAGGAGTCTGGCGGATGCCACGAAGGGGAGCGCTGGCACCTCCCACCCTGTCCTGACATCTCTGCCCTAGCGCTGTGCTGTCTCTACTCACAGGAGGGCGGGCGTCTAATGCCCTTCTTGAGGGTACCAGCCTTTCCTCCAAGCAGACCTGGAGATACCTCCTCGGTTCTAGCCCCTGTAACATGTAAACTAGACCCCAGGAAGGCTCGGCTTCAACCTCTTATTCGGCCCTTGCCTCCAATACAAACCTCTAGAAGCCCCACCCCTCGGAGTTCCGGCCTTGCCTCTCCAACCTCTAAACCCCTCCGCAAGCCTCTGAGCCACGCCTCCAAAAGCCCCGCCCCGATCATGAAGCCACGCCTCTCCCTACCTCAAAGTCCCGCCCACTTACCCTCAGGCCGGCGCCTAGCCTTGCGAGGGACGCATAGGCACGGCCCTTTGCCTCGGAGACACGCCTCTGAAGCCCCCCTGCTCCCGCCCCGGCCTCAGTGCCCCGCGGGCACCTGGGCTATATCTCCAGCCTCCAGGCCGGGACCCTTGCCTCCAAGATAAGCCTCGCTAGAGCTTCATGCTCCACCCTGGCCTGCTCACCCATCGCTAAGGTCGCTGTCAGGCAGATCAGCGTCGGGGTTCGGGGAAGGGGGCCCAGGCTCTAGCACTATGGTGCTGCCGGTGACGTAAACAGACATGCTGGGGTGCTCGATGAGGAGGTCCTCCAGGGGGCTGCTCTGGAGGCGGGCAGGCCCGAGTCCGGGCCCCTCTGCAGTAAAACAGGCGGGAGGGGTAACAAACCAGCTCTCGTCCATCAAGGAGGGCGCAGGAGGAGGGCGACCGGCAGGGGCAGGGGAGGCCCCGGGGCTGGGTGGAGCCGCGTAGCTGTCTACGGGTCGCGGGAGAGGGAGCCATGCGGGAGATGGGGCGCAGCGAGGAGGGTCATACACACACACGCACACACATACACACACACACACACCAGAGACAGGGGGCGGGGAGAGAAAGGGCATCGTTAGTCAGACCCGCAGCCCCGCCTGCCTCGTCCATGGGTCTCCCACCAGCCAAGAGTCTCCACTTGCTGCCCTAAGGCACGTGAGGTGTGGACCCCAGCACTGCGCCGCCAGGCGGCAGCCCAGGCTTGCATGGGATGGAGCCCTGTTACCCCCACCTCCTGTGTCACTACCTCAGCAGCAGTATGCCCCATAGGCCTGGGGAAACTCCCCAATCCCCTAACAGCTCCCTTCCCCTCCGCTGCTAGGCCACCTGACCTTCTCAGACCCAGGAGTCAGTCAGAGACTTGACCCCCGATTTTGGCCTCACCCGGCAAGTCAATGATGAGCCAGCCGTCCACTTCATCCTCTTCAGAGACGAAGGCTCGTGGGCAGTCGGGGTCCTCAGGGGGTGGGGGAGTGCTGAAGAAGAGGCTGGTAAGGCGCTGGAACATGGTGGGGGAGTGAAACGGCCTCGAGGGGGCGCCCTATAGCAATGCGAAAACCTGAAAAGTATAGAGAGGAGTCAGAGCCACCACTGACTGGAGTCTACTCCCACCCCCAGCCCCCAGACCAGATAAGAGTACCACAGTGATGTGTGGGGAAGCTTTGCGGTGTCTGTGCTTTCTGGTAGGTCAGCCTGCTTTCAGGCTTTTCTATTTTCCGTGTGAACTTAGGAAGCTATTTAACTTCTGTTTTCTCATCTGTCAAAAATCAATGATAATAGTACCCTCTAGGCCCTTACAAGAATTAAATGAGCTATAATAGTATCTTCCTCTGGGTTCTAATAAAAAATGAGCTAAACATAAAGAGCTTAGAATAGTACCTGAGCACAGAGTAAGCATTCAATAAACTAATCAATTAGTTATTATTACATGCTCTAGGGACATGGAAGGAGTGATATAGATAATCAGGCTTTGTGGGGGAACGTCTCCAGGTCTCCAGAGTATTGGACATCTAAGCTGGTCCCTGAAGGGTAAATAGGCATTCTCTAAGCAAAGAAGACATTGCCCAATGTTGTGATTATTTATCATCATGATATTGCTAACATTTCATGTGCTAGGTACTATACTAAGCACTTTATTTCTATTACCTCTTGTACTACAACAGATCTAGGAAGTGGGTATAATTATTATCCCTCTTTTCAAGTTAAAGAAACTGAGGCTCAGAGAGGTAAGATAACTTGACCAAAGTTTCACAGCTTGTAAAACACAGAGGTAGGATTTGAATCCATGCACTCAGAGGTAGCACCCATAATCACTATATTCCACTGCCTTTGATGAGTGTCTGTCTGGATTAGGCATTTTTAACTTGGTGGCCAGGGGCAATGGTCCATATGTATCTTTCTGGGAAAAAGGACCTTGGTTTTCATCATGATTTCTCAAATAGCACTCCTGAGCCCAGAGATTAAGACCACTACTCAAGCCTGTGTGGCTTGAAAAGTTCAGGCTAGCAAAAATCCCACAGAACTGTTACCAGTTCACCATGTAATTGCACAGGCATCAGTTATGTCTGTCAGATGAGTTAGAAGATCCTATTCCCACCGTCCCTCCCCCTTCTTACCCCCTATTCCCAAGCTCCTGCTCAAGGGCAGCATCCCTGGCTAGGAGGAAGATCAGATTGCCTGGCTCCAGGGAGACAACAGGTCAGTGGGAGGTGATGATGGAGGGAGGGAGTTATCAGACCCAGGGAACCCTTAAGTATGAGCACTGAGTGTTGGACCAGGACTCAAGGCCTCAATCAGCCCTTCCCTAGGTGAAGATGAGGAAGGAGACCTGTTGCTCCAGGAATGCAAACATGAAATAGGTGGCTATAGATCTGCCCCTTACCCCACCTCAGTCTACCTCCTCAGGACTATACCTGGGCTAAGGGCCCCCTGGATATCCCTAAAGCTTGACCCTCCACATCTGTCCCAAAGATAGTCAACAGTTTTGTTACTGAGCTGCTTGTCGCCTTCCTCTAGGGATGTTTCCACACTTCCTACGATCTCCTTAGGGTCATGTCCACCTTTCCATTCCCTAGTGGCATTCTACTCTCACTGCTAACCCACCTGGGGTAGTTCTGTGCTTGTGGCTACCTCTTCGTCCTCTGGGAATGTTTTCACACTTGACCAGAATCCCCTAACCTCCATGCCCTGAGAGCATTTCCATATTTGCAGACCTACAGTGGGCTCCAGAAGGAAGAGCTCCCTAGGTGCTGGCCTCCTTGGTGGGAGATCTACAGGGATTATAAAAGATTGGGCCACCCCAATTAGTGCCTGCCCATCACAAACCACATATCTCAACCCATCTGTAGCCACAGGGAGGAGTTAGTGACTCAATCACCAAAAATCCAGAAAGTTTGGCCCCTCCTGAAGGAAGGGAAGATTGGGGCCTTGATGAGGAACACACTCCTTCCATGGACCTACTACTTTGTTGAAAAGATGAAAAAGTTAAGGACTGTTTCAGGGACCAGCATATTCACCCAGTTCATTTTACAACCTGAAAATCAGAGGACATATGTCTATCCAAAGACACACAGCTAGGTGGCAGGGGAAAGCCTGGCCCCAGGACTCTGAGCATCCAGTCCAGAGTACACAATTGGAAAATCCTCAGCAAACAGTCCCCCAAAATATAATGGTGCAGGAGAGATAAGGAAATCAGACAGGAGTCAGACCTTGATTGAGTCACTGCCCCCTTAGAGCCCCTCTGCTCAAATACAAAGGGTCTGGGGTTCCTGAAACGAAGATTCATTGTGCATTTACCAGAGCACCCACTGTATACTAGAGCCTGCTCTGGGCCTCCTCAAATTACAGACAGATTGAGGTAAGGGAGGCTGGGGTTAGGAAGAGAGCTGCCTGCCCGAGGTCACACAGCAAGTCAGTGACAGAGCCAAGAGTAATAACAGCACCAGCCAGCCAGTGCCCGCCCTCGCATGACCAACGGGGAGTCTCCCGGATTTTCTTTCTCAGCCCTGCCAGCTTCCTGGTTCTCACATTCCCAGCGCTGCTCCAGGGAGAACCATTCCTTTTAATAACTATGGCAGCTGTGCTCTGAATAGCACTTGAACCCCAAGCCACATCTACCCCAGCTCATCCTTGAGTAAAGCCCATCAAGCCTCTAGGACCATGCACTTAGAAAGTCAGAAGCTCTCTTCTACCCCTTCCCCTGCCCCTTTCAGTGAACAGAGAGGCAGCACAAACCTTGTAATCGCCAGCACTATGACAGGTCATATCCTTCTAGGTGACAACTCTAAAGGTTGGGGAGGTGATCAAGGGCCAAATAAAGGAACTCTCACATCTTGCCACCCCACCATCAGCCCTGAAGACACTCTGATGCAACCAATGACTCATTTTTCTGTGTTAAAAACAGCTGGGAGGAAGCAATTTTAATGGGCTCTGAGACTCCAAGGTACAAGAGGGTCAGGGCCACAAGAGGGGACCCAATCTCCAAAGACCTCCTGTAAAAAGATCCAGGAGTGAGGAACCTAGGAGCCCTATCAAATTTGGATGGTGCTGAACCCAAGGTAAAGTCCTCAATGGTAGGAAGATGTGCAGATGTGTAACTTGTTACTTTATCGAGTTCCTACTAGGTATGTGCCCATGGCTAGCTAATGCATATGTCACTCACTCGGTAAGCATAACTCTAATTGGCTGCATGGCCAAGAGTAAGCCACGTCCCCTCTCTGAGCCTCAGTTTCTCCTTCCATGAAATAGGGTCTAAGACCCCTAAATTGGGGGCTGGAAATGACGTCAGCTAAGGCGCTGCACACATGTCAGAGATTAGGAGGATGTTATTATGTTAGGGGGTGCAGAGTCTGGAGCCGGAGGGAGGGAATCCCGCCACCATCTGGCGCTGCCCCAACAACCCAGAGCTGGAGCTCCAGGCCTCCCCTCAACCCCTGACGACCTCCCCTCAACCTAGACCCAAAGGTACCTTCCGAACCCCTCTCGAGTCGCAAAGGAGAAAGCAGGGAATCACAGGCCTGACCTCAGCCCCTGGATTAACCCAGGGAAACTGCCAAGGCCCCTCTGGTGCCCGCTGCCTTTCAGCGTCCGTCACCCGTGGGCCCAGCCCCGACCCAGCACCCACTGGGTCACGAGAGGACAAGCGACCCGAGCTCGAGGTGGGGGTTGGAGGGCGGTGCCGGCCTTGGTGACGTCTCAATGTCAAATGCAAATAGAGAGACGTCATGGTCTACCGGGCGTGCGGCAGCCAATCCGGAAACGGCAATGCAACTCCAGCTGCCGCCGGCGGAGACAAAGACCCGGGAGTGGGGGACGCGGGGCGTGTCCTGAGGTGCGGGAAGCCCCCTGGCCAAAGCTCGTCTGGACTCACCTGGGAGCCGGGGCGGTGTGGCGGGCGGGATGGCGCTGAGGTAGTTGTGCGGCGTAGCGGCCGGGGGTCTGCGGCTGATTACAGGCAAGGCCGCATCGCGGGGCAGAGCAGGGAGGCGGTGGGGCTAAGCGTGGGACGCTCCTGGCTGCTGCGCTCGCCCGCGGGGCTTTGAGTCTGTGCAGCCGCAGCTGCTGGGCTCTCAGCACAAATTGGAACGTTCAAACAGCTGATTGTGACATCACAAAGAGGCCCGCCCGTCTCGCGTCACTGGCAGGCGGAGCGGTGTCCAATCCCAGGCAGCGGATCCCCCCTCCCCGCCTTCTACATGGATCGAAAGCTAGTGGTTCCTGCCTGGGAGCCCGACTCCGAGCCGCAGGGCGCCGTCGGGAGAAGCAACTGCTGGGAGCTTGGATCCCCTGCCCCATGGTGACTCACAGACCTCTCAGTGAAAAGGATCCCACTCCTTCCTACGGAATCCCCGTCTTCCGGCACTCCCTCATATATCCCGGCTCCCTCACCCCCTGCCACTGGACCCCAGACCCTTTCACTTGCATACTACATCCAAGTGCCCCAATCTGTACCCCTGTCTCAACGACACACCACGCCCATGCACCTCCATCCTCCCTCCCCACTCTTTTCTCTGCTGTTCCTCCCTTTTCTGTCTCACCTCACCCGTACACATTCTCTGTTTCCCCACTCCACTTTGAAAGGTGGTGACTTCTCCCTTCCTTGGTTCCAGGGCAATACCTGGGAATGGAGAAGAGTTGGTTAGACTGAAGGGCAATTTTACAGAGTAGGAGTTGGAGAGGAATTGCTCTGGGTTGGATAAACATTGACCTAGAGACTTTTCTGTACTGGAAGTTTACACACTTTATTTAATCCACATTGCTATTGGGGCTGAACAGAAAAGTTACAAGACAGATTATTAGTCCCGATTTACACACGAGGATACTGAGGCTCACAGATCTCACTGTTAGTATGTGAATTCATATTCAGTAATGCATTTAACAAATATTGAGTACCTACTATTGCCACTGCCAGACCATTAACTGACATTCATTGAACACTTACTGCGTGCCAGGCACTGTGCTATAGCACTTTATATGTGTTTTGATATTCACCACAACCCCAAAAGGTGGATATTATCCCCATTTTCCAGTTGAGGAAATAAACTCAGCCCAAGTGATTTCCCAAGATCACAGAGCTAATGTAAATAGCAGAGCCAGGATTTGAGCCCATAGTTCCTGTCCCCACCCCTTTCCATGCTTTACATGCACTAACTAGACTGTCTAAACCCCAGAGTGCTTCAGCCTCCACTGAGAGATGTGGACCCAGTCCTAACCGCCCCAAACTTGCTATGTGCCCTCAGGCAAGTCATGTTACCTTGCTGGGCCTCAGTTTCCTTATCTGTCAAGCTTAGCATGTCCAAGCTTCCCTCTAGAAAGTCTTTCAAACTCGACCCTCAGAATTCTGCCACTCTCATGCTCTAGGCCCCTTGCTCTCCCAACGGTCTGGGAAATGTCTGGGGAGAGACCACAAATACACATCCTCAGAATCTATAGGGCCAGAGGTTCTGGGTCCTCTCAGTAAAACAGGACTGGTGGGGGTGGGTCTGAAAGATGTCCATCTGGCCCAACAGGAGGCAAGGGGTGAGCTAGTCCAGAGCTTCGTGCTCTGATGAGAAAATCCTCTCCCAGCTTAGTCAGAAACCCCAGAGGGACTCTTCAGCCCTAGCAACTAGCAGAAGGAGCCAGGAAATAATACTCAGAGGTTTCTGGAGGGAGGAGAGAGCAGTGCTTTGGCCCCTGGAGTATTGTTCCCAAAGTGTACTCATTCCGTGCAACCCTGAGCTTCTGCCCATCCCATGTACTTCCTGTTAACCTCATACCCTCTCTTGACCTCCATGCTGGCTTAAACTAAATAATCCATAACATGCCTCTCATGTCACACTACTTGCCTGTTCTAGAACCTCTGTGGCTCCCAAAGCACCACACTACTTAACACAACATGTGTAGCTTTCCATGATCCAGCCCCAGTTCTCTCCAGCTTCACCTCTGCCCCACCCCTCCATCCTTCTTTTACATACCCCTTGTGCTAAGGTCAAACTCCTCATTGTCTCTTCGACACTGTCCCACAACCACACTTTTGCTCAAGCTCTTCCCCCTGCCTGGATGCCCTCTTCAGGCCTTTCTGAATTCAGATCTTTCCTGTCTTCAAGAGTCTATTCACCCCTTCTTTCTCTAGGTAGCCTTCCCTGTCCCCACTCAGGTATCCAGAGCTACCTTGATGAACATTTATTTGTTCACTAAACAGTAATAACTAATTGTGTGTGTGTTTATGTGTATGTGTCTTCCCAAGTGGATGGTTGGTATCCCAAGGGCAGAATCTCTGTCCATGTACTCCCCCTACCTGGCCTGTACTGGGCCTGGCAGAGTAGACGCTAATCAAAGGCTCAGCATTTACAACTCAAGAAGAGTGGCTGGTACAGGAGTCTATACTTGGACCCTCGACCCTAGTACGGGAAACATTCTGCTGGGCACAGGGTTCTGGTTCTCTAAGCCCAGGGAAGAGGGATCCTGGCATATACTCTGATATCCTAAGTGACCTGGATTCTGTTCCTGGCCTTAGCTGAATCCCATGTACAGGCTACTAGGGCAGATCCCAGTCTTCCAATTCTCTGTAGAGTCAGGGGTACCCATGGAAGTAGGGGGCTAGAGCCTACTGAAACTCCTGGGACCCATCCATCCCTACTGCAGAGATTTATTATCAGAGCTGGAGGAGACTTCAGACCTTAATTCATCTAAACACCTCATTTTATAGGTGGAGAAACTGAAGCACAGAGAGGTCAAGGTACCACTTAGAATTATAGAGCAGCAGAGCCATCTACTGACACTGGCCCTGGCAAGTGGGCTTAGTATTCTGGCCTGGGCCTGGGGGTTGTAAAAAAAGGCAACGAGCACCACACTCAGGGTAATCTTGAAGTCTCTTTTCCCAACAGGCATAGGGTGCCACTCCTGTGTACATACATGTATAGACACGGGCACATAAGCATACACATGAAGGCATTCATGTACAAGCATACACATATGCGCATGAGCTCACACCCACAGGGTTAACATATGCCCATTCAATCCCTACCCAGATGTAAGCGCTTTCCCAATTTCATTGGCCCCTGGATTGGAGGTCAAGAGGCCACCCTTCTTTTCCTGCCTGGGCCTTGGGCTTGCCCTTACCAAACCCTGGAGGCTCCCTGATGGCCTGGGGCCCCCCACTTCGAAGAACAGAAATGTGTCAGCCAGGGCATGTCTCTCACTGGACGTTGTGTATACTCAAAGATATGAGCCCCTAGAGAACTGGCTCACCACTCTCCCCTGCCTACTTCCCCCTCTAAGATAGAGGGCAAAGCTGAGATGAAGCCCAGTGGATAGCTTGGAATCTGAGCTAAAACCAGCAAGGCCGGATCACTCTAGAAACAGAGTCCTTTTCCTCCCTGCACTAGGTCTACAGAGTTAAACATGTAATATTAATGATGATGCTATTAGGATTTCTATGTGCCAGGTACAATTCTCAGTCTTTATCTGTGTTGATAACTCATTTAACCTTCACAACAATCTCCAAATATAGGTAATATTATTCTTCCCATTTTACTGATGAAGAAACAGACAGAGAGGGGAAGAAATTTAATTGGTAAGGCAACCAAAATCCCCAAATTCCCCCAACAGATAAGCCTATACTTTAACAAGGGGCCATATCCTCTGAACATCTAATCACAAGCTCTGTTTTTCAATCCAGAGATGTCTGAATTGAGGGTAACTGGTGTGTGCATGTGTGTGTGTGTGTGTGTGTGTGTGTGTGTGTGTGTGTGTGTACACCCTGGTCTGATTGTCAGTAAGTCCAGGTTTCAATTCTGGTTCTATCTAACCTGGGTTCACTGCCTGGCCCTGGGCAAATCACTTCTTTTGTCTGAGCCTCAGTTTTCCCATCTGCAAAATGGCTGGCTCCAGGTTTGTTTGTATGAACTGTGCTTAATGCTCTTGATGATGATGAGGTAATGTCCGGACATGATTCATTCCAACAAAAGGTGGCAGGTGGCAAGAAGTCAAATGTCTGGCTTAGTTTTAGTCCAACTGCCCATGATGTGAGGATGGGGTGGTGACTTTGGGGTTCCGTGGAAATGTTTGTGAGTATGAACAAGTACCTGAGTGAGCTCCTCTGATGTGAGTGCTCTGCATGAATTCTCACATTTAGAACTTTTGAAGGGAAATTTTTGCACCCCTCCAGCTTTGAGGCTGGGAAGATGAGAATGAACAATAGCTTTCGTCCTGCTGACCCAGCCACACTTCTAGGAGAAAGTGGACTCATTGAAGCTCAGACCACTGCCCTTTTCTGCTTACAGATATTCTTTGCCTCCCTGACACCTCCAGACTGCAATTCGCACTGCTGGCCAGGAATCCTCTCATGCCATCTGGTAAACAGTGAGCATTCAATAAGTACTGACAAGGAGGGATGAGTGAAGCTGCCCTCACCCACTCTTGTTTAGCCTGTCAATACACACACACACACACACACACACACACACACACACACACACACACACTGTACAAATGATCACACTCCAAACCACCACCAGCTTTCCTGCTTCTAGGACTTCTAGTTCCTCCTCCTCAGGAACCCTGCCCCTTCACCCACCTCATCTCCCTATGTCTAGACCCTCTCTATTCTTCAGGATTAATCAGCAACTTATATTTATTGAGCATTTACTATGTGCTTGTAATTTTCTAAGATAGACACTCTTGTTATCCCCATTTTACAGATGAGGAAGTTGGGGAGCTCAGACTGCTGAGGGCTCAAGGTCACTGAGCTAATAAGTGTCAGTGCATGTTTCTGTATAACCAACTGTGTATAGAAATATTGTACATGCGTGTGTGTACAATAATAAATAGCATAAAAATTATAAAGCCTATGTATGAAAAATGTAGTATTTTCACCTAACTTAAAATTATTTTAAGCAACTGATACTTCCATGTTGGCCTTGAAGGGGCAAACTGCCCTGTTATGAAGATGGCCACATGGCAAGGACCCGAAAGGGGCCTGTAGAAGCCAAAAGTGGTTCCCAGCTAACAGATAGCAAGGAAATGGGGATCTCAGTAACATGGTCACAAGAATTCTGCCAAAAACCTGAGGGAGCCTGGAAGTCAAACTTTCCCTAGTCGAGTCTCTAAATGAGTACACAGCTGGCCAACACTTTGATTTCAGTCTTGATCAGAGAACTCAGATGAGCTTCACCTGTACTTCTTATAGAACTGTGAACTAATAAACGGGTGTTGTCTTTTTCTTAGTGTACCACCATTTACTTACTTACTTATTTACTTATTTAAATTTTAAAAATTACAGTTGACATACAGTATTATATTGGTTTCAGGTATACAGCATAGTAATTAGACATTCAATAACTTAGGAAGCGATCATCCTTATTAAAGAGATGTTGTCTTGAGCCCCTAAGTTTGTGGAGGTTTGTTACACAACAATAGGAAATTGCAACTCATATGCTGAAAAACTTTTTTGCATGAAAATTAAGAGGCAGCTTGAGTTACTAATCTTACTCTAGAACATTTTGTCTTGGTGTAAATATTTTCATGAAACTCATAATAGTGTTATAATTGAGAAAAATCATTTTTTCTATCTTTTTTTGTTTTTACCATAGTTGAAATTGAATAATTTGAATATGTAGGGTGCAACTCCAGGGTATCTATTAGCCAAATGACACTTCCTCCAGGAAGCTAAGATCTTTCTGGATGGAAGTAACCTCTCCCTCCTCAGAGCCCCCAGAACACATTGTCTGCCGCATACTTAGGAATGCCTAGTTACTTTCTGGTAGACAGATGCCTTTTCCGTACTTGAGAATCTCATTTTTAGTGTAAACAGAAACATAATCAGAGACATTATAATACAGAGAGATAAGGGCTAGGACAATGGGTAAGCCAAGGTGCTGGGGAAATTTTTAAAAATGGGATTCAAGAAAAGCTTCCTGGAAGAGAGACCATCTGAGCTAGGCTTTGAAGAAGGGCTAGGCCTTGGGGCAAATG